TCCTTGTAGCCTCACTGTTCCACCTCCTCCCTCTCATTCACACACATATACTGTCTTACCACGGCTGACTTTCATTCCTCTTCTTTCAAGTACATACCTCCACATCTCCAAGTTCTCTTCCACCTGTTCCATGTTCTCACCACAGATCACAATGTCATCAGCAAACATCATCATCCATGGGGATTCTTGCCTGACCTCGTCTGTTAGTCAGTCCATCACCAGAGCAAACAAGAAGGGGCTCAGAGCCGATCCTTGATGCAATCCCACCTCCACCTTGAAGCTATCTGTCACTCCTACAGCACATCTCACCACTGTCCTGCTGTCCTCATACATGTCCTGTACCAGTTGAAAGGTTTTGGGGTGTTCAAATGACCCGAGCACAGAATTTCAGGAGCACTTCACCTTAGTATTAAAGATTTAATTGAGACAAAGTTAAAGTATGCAAATATTACATGTAATCAGAATGCAGTCTGAGGAACAAAGTCAGAGTGAACCTTGCCTGGTCAATCAGCCTCGTGTTTGTTCAACCAAACTTTGTGTCTGAGCGAGATTTATAGATTTCTCATGTCCTGCCCTTTCGGGTTCAGACAGACTTGTGATTGGATGTCAAAACCTCTTGATGATCCGAGTGACACCATGTTCAGCCACTCAAGAGCAGATCTTATCTCCATGGTAACCTCCGAAGGCCGCAGATAGCCTTCGGCTCACTCTTCTACTGATAAGGGTTGATTTACGAGCTTTGTTTTGGAACGCAGGACACTTACTCTGGTTTTCGTCTGTATAGAGTTTTAAAACACGTTTTCTGTGTGACTGAACTATTATTAACGTGAGAGCATAAATACTCAACCTATGTTAAGTATAAAGTATATGAATGTTGTGATTTAGCGTTATTTATGTTAATCAATGTGTGAGCAGTGTGTATCCTTAGCACTTGTGAGATTATATATAACATGAAGTAATTAGTGTATGATTATCCTTAGCACTTGTGAGATTATATATAACATGAAGTAAACACTTTAGAATTAATGCAGGCCTGTAAATATAGTTCAAACCCTTTAATTCAGACACGCACACACCTTGTAGAAAATGCATCATTTCACATCATCAGAGAAATGTCAAGGCTTGTCAAAAGATATAAAAAGATATAAAAGATATCAAATCCAACACAGTCTAACATACTTTTCAGCCACTCCAGATTTACTCATGCAATACCACACCTCCTCCCTTGGTACTCTGGCATATGCTTTTTCTAAATCCACAAAGACACAATGGAGTTCTTTCTGACCCTCTCTATACTTCTCCATCATCATCCTCAAAGCAAAGATGGATCTGTTGTGCTTTTTCTTGGCATGAAACCATACTGCTGCTCACAAATAGTCAACTCTCATCTAAGTCTTGCTTCCACAACTCTCTCCAAGATCTTCATCGTGTGGGTCATCAACTTAATTCCCCTGTAGTTGCTACAACTCTGTACATCACCCTTGTTCTTAAAAATGGGCACCAGCACACTTCTTCTCCATTCCTGAGGCATTTTCTCACCCTCAAATATGCCATTGAATATTTGAGTCAAAAACCTCACTGCCATCTCTCCAAGGCATTTCCAAACCTCCACTGGTATGACCTCAGGTCCTACTACCTTCCCCTTCTTCATTCTTTTCAGAGCTTTCCAGACTTAACCCTCACTAATCTTTCCCACTTCCTGGTCCACAGTTTCTATGACCTCTACTCTTCTTTCTCTTTCATTTTCTTCATTCATTAGCTCCTCAAAGTACTCCTTCCATCTTCCCATCACACTCTCCTCACTTGTTAGAACATTACCATTCCTATCTTTAATAAGCCTAACCTGCTGCACATCCTTTCCAGCCTGATCCTTCTGTCTTGCCAATCGGTACAAGTCCTTCTCACCCTCTTTAGTGTCCAGTCTCCCATACAACTCATCGTATGCCCTCTGCTTTGCCTTAGCTACATACCTCTTTGCTCTACATCCCATCTCCTTATATTCCTGTCTCCTCTCTTCAGTCCTCTCACTGTCATATTTCTTCTTAGTTAATCTCTTTCTTTGAATGGCGTCCTGCACTTCACTGTTCCACCACCAGGTTTCCTTATCATCCATACTCTGTCCAGATGACACACCAAGTACCTTCCTACCTGTCTCTCTAATTACTGTTGCTGTAGTAGCCCAGTCATTTGGACGCTCTTTCTTACCACCCAGAGCCTTTAACAGCTCCTCTCTGAATTTCTCACAACATTCTTCCTTCTTCATCTTCCACCATTTGGTCTTCTTCTCTGATTTTACTCTTTTTCTCTTCTTCACAACAACAGTCATTCTCCACACAACCATATAATGCTGTATGGCCACGCACTCCCCTGACACAACCTTACAGTCTCCAATCTCCCTCAGGTTTCCCCTTCTACACAGAATGTAGTCGACCTGCGTACTCCTTCCACTTTTATAGGTCACTATTGTTCTTCCATCTTTTGGAAATAGGTATTGACTATAGCCATTTCCATTCTCTTGGCAAAATCCACCACCATCTGTCCTTCTTGGTTTCTTTCCTTGACACCAAACCTACCCATCATTTCCTCATCCCCTCTGTTTCCTTCACCAGCATGTCCATTCAGGTCTGCTCCAATCACCACTCTCTCCTCCCTGGGAATACTCTCTATCACTTCATCCAGATCTTTCCAAAATGTATCTTTCTCCTCCTCATCACATCCAACCCGTGGAGCATAACCACTGACGTTGTTTAGCATCAGACCTTCTACTTCTACCTTCAGGCACATCATCCTATCTGACATGCTCTTCACCTCCACTATATTCTTTGCCAACTCCTCCTTTAGGACCACCCCTACTCCATTCCTCTTTCTATCCACACCATGGTAAAACAGTTTGAACCCTTCTCCAATGCTGCGAGCCTTGCTGCCCTTCCACTTGGTCTCTTGGACACATAAAAAATCTACCTTTCTTCTCTGCATCATCTTCCAGCTCTCTACCTTTGCCTATCATTGTCCCCAAATTTAGAGTTGCAACCCTAAGTCCTACATTCTTCACTTTCCTCTTCGCCCTCTGTCTCCTGACACATTTCCCTCCTCATGGTCTTCGGCTAACAGTAGCACAATTTCCGCCGGCACCCTGTTTGTCAACAGCACCGGTGGCAGTCATTGTTAACCCGGGCTTTGACCGATCCGGTATGGTTTCGCTTTTATGAACTCGCATTATTGTTTTGGCAAAAGTTTTTTATATCGGATGCCATTCCTGACACAACCCTCACCATTTACCCAGACTTGGGACCAGCATAAGTGATACACTGGCCTACTTGTGCTCCCTAGTGGCTGGTTTAAACACATAATACATATATGACAATTAAATGTATAATTTAGTTATTAAATACATCATTAAATAATTAAATCCATCCATTATCTTTACCCGTTTATTCCATTTTGGGTCACGGGGGTCGCTGGTGCCCATGTCCAGCAATCACTGTGCGAGGGGCGGGGTACACCCTGGACAGGTCGCAAGTCCATCACAGGGCCACATAGAGACAAACAACCATTCACTCTCTCACTCACACCTAGGGACAATTCAGAGTTACCAATCAGCCTAACATGCATGTTTTTGGACTGTGGGAGGAAACCGGAGTACCCGGAGAAAACCCACGCATGCACGGAGAGAACATGCAAACTCCACCCAGAAAGGCCCCTGGACCGGGGTTTGAACCAAGGACCTGCTCACTGAGAGGCAGCAGCTCTACCAGTTGCGCCACCGTGCTGCCTTAAATAATTAAATATATAATTAAATTATTAAATACACCATTAAATAAAGAAATGTACCTTTTAAATTATTTATGTCATGATTTATTTATTTATTTTATTTTGTCACATTTTGCCTTCCAGTGTCACCATGAAATTATGTTAAATGGCAGCCTCTCTTGTCAAACTAAGTGGGCGGGACTAACCCTAACCCTGATGCCTGATTGGCTGCTCCTCACAACAAGTGAAGACAAATTGACCACTTATTCACCTATTTGTCCTTATTTATTTTATTACTCTTAGGAAATGTTAACAGTGTGGAGAGATACATTCCTGCTGTTACATCTGATTTTTATTGTTTAAACATGTCCCTGTTTCTTAATTTCATGTTGATAACGTTTAATTGTTTTTGTCTCTGAGCTGGAAATGTCCCTAGATTTAACTTCAGAAATCTGGTCACCTTAGCATGGAGGGAGCTGCCATGTTTGAACTGACATCAGACCGAAGCAATGGATTTCACATGCTCAGTGTTAGTCCCGCCCACTGAGTTTGATGAGTGAGACTGACAGTTAACATAATTTCATGGTAACACACGATGGTGGAATGTGACAAAATTAAATAATTGAATAAATCTAAATAATTTAGTTGTGTATTTAATAATTTAATTGTATATTTAATGGTATATTTAATAATGGAATTGTTTATTTAATGATTTAATGATGCTTTTACAAACTAAATGCTACATTCATTGTTATGTATTTATTTATTTCATTTTGTCACATTCCATCCTCCATACCTTACTGCTCATTGAAGTGAAACAGTACATGAATGTTCTGGTGTGATTAAAAGTTAAACAAAAAGACAATAACTGCAATACTAATACAAGCATGTCATCTATTATGTCTGGGGATGTAGGCTAGGCAGGAGGCATGAATTATATTTTTGGGATTTTTTTCCTCTGCTCCACTCATTTAAAAAAAAAAAAAAATCTTGTTTTGGGACTCCTTACATGTCATTTGAGTGGGTCAGAATGGACTAAAGTTTGAATTATTTAAAAAAAAAGAAAGAAAAGTTTTAGTTTTTAAATTTTATTCTTCAAAGTTTTCATGTGGATGTGAATATCCTCCAATCCTACGATTTGTTTAACGAAAATAAGAAACTTCAGAAATGAGACTTTGCTCTCAAATTTTCATTTTTATAATAAAAATTTGGCTTTGTTTGACAAAGTTCTTTTTTATTTTTTCTCACAGTATAACATCATCAAGCTGGAGGTAAGAAAGTATACAAACTTTTTGTTGTTCAGAAAGTTATTCACCTAAACATATACATCAATGTGTATATGTAGCTATGTTTATCAAATGTGTTCTCATGTTAAATAACATATTAATAACAAAATGTGCATGACTGGGCAGGAAAGGACGGCATTGGTCTCTAATACATCATGCATTTAGCAAATTTAAAATTATAGTATCTAAATGTTTGTTTGTTACTGGACTGTAACTGAAGACATTAAAATCTTCATTTCAACATTTAAAGACTATCACTTCTTGTTTTTATTTATTATTTTTACTCTTTGAACAGGATCCCTTTGACAACAGGATTGGACAGTGGCTCAATGAAACGTCCAATAGCAAAATACTACAGCTTTCTTATTCCCTGAACTCTGAGGCTCGTGAAGGAACTTACAAAATCGTTGTCTCAGTAGGTGAAAGAAAAACACATCACAGCTTCAAGGTGGAAAAGTATGGTAAGTTGGTAATATTTTTAGAAATTAAAAAAATTATTTTTTTAGTTATATCTAAATACTAAAGTAACCACCTTTTTTTTTCAGTTTTGCCCAAATTTGCCACAACGATAAATGTTAGAGATGAAGTAAGTATTGGATCAGAAGAATTTGATGCTGAAGTATGTGCAAAGTAAGAAAAAGTTTATTTCTTACAAAACAATATAAATTTAGAAATTTGATTTACATTCTCTTTGATGTATAAATGACTTACTGGTATGTTCTCATTTAATTAGGTACACATACGGACAGCCAGTGCCAGGAAGTATTACGGTTAAAGTGTGCCGACCTTTTAGGTACCATTATTTGGGTATGCAATCAAGACACCCAGAAGAATTTGAAGCAACTCCACTATGCGACACAAAAACAAAGGAGGTAGAGTCGGTTCAATTTTTCACGTTTTTCTAGGTTAAAATGTCAGAGGGATTCTGCGCTCCTTTTTTATCCATTGTTTCTTGAACCTAATCCTGTATACATCTTAAACTTCATGCAACTTGTTTAGTACTATTTTATCTTCTTACTGGAGAAAGTAGTGTGAAAAGATACTTGTAATGTTTGGTGCTCCATTGTCCTACTAAGAGTAAAGTCATTTCCTAATTACTACTACTACTTACTTACTTGCTAGCACTTATTACATACTTTGCTAACTCATGCTTGAATAATAACCTGTGTTTATTTTATTTTTTCTGCGCAGCTTCACTTTGAAGGTTTCATTCCACCTTTATTTATACAGGCTAGTCTCATTGAGTCACGAGGACTCCTTTACAAGAAAGACCTGTTCCAGACGGATCATATAAAGTACAAATAACAATAACAATAAATTACAGTAAAAATGCAGTTAAAAATAAAAGTAGTGTTATAAAATAATAAATCAGGGTATCGTAAAAAGCAACAACACTTTATTTAAGTAGGTGAATGTAATGCAACATAACACTGATAAGACTGTTCAGTGAAGGGATGGCAATTCTTTTAAATGTACTGTTCTTTTTTAATTACTGGATTCCTAGAATCAGTTCATTGAAATATTTTGTTTAGAAGACTAGTTCACTCGATCTTTCAGTTCATGCAGTTTATTTGTGCAGTATGCACAAGTGTACACAGTGCCACTTCCAGCACAGTACTATGTACTTTGTAAACAAATCACTCTTCAGTGTCAGTATTTTGTGTGCGCTTGCACAAATTGGCAGTTGGTTCACTGAACGAATCACTCCCCTGCCCTCTGTGACAGACTTCACTCTCTGTTGAGCCCATGTTCATGAGTGACACAACACTACAGCAGCAAGCAGCACGTTTGTAATAAGGGGGGCAAGATGGGGTAGAGGTAGGGCAGCTGACTCTGGACCCGAAAGTCCCAGACTCGATCCCCAGTCATTGCACATCTCGTGGTGTCTCCGAGCAGGACACACTATCCCCAAGTGCTCCCCGGGTGCCCTCAATAGTTGCCCACCACTACACCTGGGGGTGGATGGGTTAAACACAGAGAGCCAATTTCAACATTGTATGGGAACATATGGGTCCTCTAACAGAAAATGTTGAATAACAGAGATGCCATTTCCTGCATTTTGGTGTATTTTAACGGGTTGTTATACATCAATATTTATGTACATTTGTAAACTCTTAATAAAATCACTATTTTGGAGAAGAACAGCAGGTTGTGTATGAATGAGCAGCTCTGATTCCATCAGGTGTCCTAAACCCCCCTCCCCCCCACTTCACGGTTCTGAGCTGAACTCTTCTCTGCTCCTGCTCCAGTCTCTGGCACCGTTTGAAACACCGCAAGGCTTCAATTCTCTGCTGTCCAACTAAGGACAGTCCATCCATCCATCCATCCATCCATCTTTTATTAAAGTAAATTGGACTGTCTTTTTTACATTTTGATCGCTGTTGTTATTTTGACAAATTAGTGCCGTTGTTTTGAAACGTGATGTATAATGTGAATAACACATCACACATTACTCTTTGTATTTTTTTTATTTATTTTTTAACAGTAAGATTTTTTTTATTTAATATGTCTGAAATGTAACAGGAGTTCAGACAACTGCTGATGTCGTGCGCACGCTAGAGCTGTCTGGAGACGTTTTTGTGCGTAACGTGCACTGTCCACAGGGCATTTATTTATTCTGTTGAATAAATGATCGATTCTGTTTCGAGGGTCTGAGAGGAGGGGAGAGGGTGTTTTTCAGTGCGCAGTCCCACTGAGTAGGGACAATATTTGGAGAGGAGGAGAAGAGAAGGACTCTGTGTAGAGTCTCTGTGCGTAAATGTGACAATCTGTCCCTCCGTCCTCACCCCCCCACACCTAGAGGCTCCTCTCCTGCTCCTCGAAGGAGTGTGTAGCTGGTGCGCCGCACGTGCTGCGGCTGGAACATCCACAGACTGGGTCCGCCGAGCTAAAAGCAACGTCTCCTCTCGTATTTTTAATAAATAATCAAACTAAAAATGCACGATGACTTTGAACTTTTAAGGGCGGAGCTGCCGGATCTGAACAAAGAGTTGCTGGAACAGAACGGGTCAAAATGAGAGCGTTCCCAGATCTTGTTCCGGGAGGATCCGGCTCAAATTAACCACTGGTCACAAGTGAGTCAGGCAACGTGGAAGTTCCACTACCTACCAGCATGCTCACGCTGTGCTCAGCTGAACTGAGTGTGTGAATGACACAACGCTACTGTTGTCCTGGGATTCCCACAATATGTTATAACTCACAGTAACAGCAGAAGATCCAGTAAACTCTCAAAACAATCAAAACCCATATTAAACCAAACAGAAACTCACCTATATAATATCCTATAAACCACTTTGATTTTTACTCATTTGAGGGTTCAACTGCAAGTGCCTATTGATCAGGCCTCAACCTGAGAGGCCAGGGCCTCTACCCAATGAACCCAGTTGGGCTCAGTGCAAGTGAGCTGCGGAGCATACAGGATCAAACACAGATCATCTGGTGTTGAAAGCTACTGAATAGTAGTGAGTTTTTAAACGGGACTTGAAAACTGAGAGGGAGGGGGTCTGCCTGACAAGCAGAGGTAACTCGTTCCAGAGTCTTGGTCCTGTTACAGAGAAGGCCCTGTCACCTCTGCGCTTAAGACGAGTTCCTGGAACTGAGGAGCAACTGGTCCGCTGACCTCAGGGAACATGGTGGGACATAGAGTTGTAGCAGATCAGAGAGATGGGTGTGTGTGTGTGGGGGGGGGGGGGGGGG